AAGAGTAACTATCTTTATTGTGCTAATATAACCATGTTGTTACTTTTTAGACGAAGAGTAATTATCTTGATTGTGCTAATATAACCATGCTGTTACATTTTAGACGAAGAGTAACTATCTTGATTGTGCTAACATAACCATGCTGTTACATTTTAGACGAAGAGTAACTATCTTGATTGTGCTAATATAACCACTCTGTTACTTTTTAGACGAAGAATAACTATCTTTATTGTGCTAATATAACCATGCTGTTACTTTTTAGACGAAGAGTAATTATCTTGATTGTGCTAATATAACCACACTCTTACGTTTTAGATGAAGAGTAATTATCTTGATTGTACTAATACAACCACACTATTCATGATAGGGTTCAAACAAAATGGTAATGATCGTTTAGTGTATTTTTATGATGCACGAACTATGATAAAGCATGGTATTCTTTTCTTCATCCCGTCATAACTTAGATTGTATTTAAATATTTTAATTACTGTTCTAATGAGTTAAAGTATATCGTTATAAAACCTTATAAAATATGCACACGATAACTCAAATTTCATAGTCACATTTACTTGACATGGTAACACGTGTGTGTGTTTAATATTGCATGTCTCATATTTCTAAAATTGTATTTATGCGTCTGTATATAATTTAGACTCATTAATTCTAACCTATAAAGCTGAAATTTTGAAAGAAAAGCATAATTTGAAAAACGCATATCATTTTGTTTGTAGTTAAGCGTAAGCTGCACAAAGGTTTATCAGTGCTGTGCTCAGACATAGCGCTGAGCCACGGGGGAGGGGGGCAACACACATTAATAGTAACAAATTCTATGTAAAGAATATTCTTATATGTAAATGCGTTAAAAAAGTACACCTGATACGTGTTGTGTATTCGATATTTCAATAATTCGTGGAGGAATGCGTATTATTCTGGTGGTACACAAGTATACCTGACATGAGTAACACATGTTGTGTATTCGATAGAGGTGTAAGCAACATAGTAGTAATAGCTCTTCTAACAGGAAACGAGTATGTATACTTACTCAAATCCATACAAGTGTTGTACATATTCTTGACCTTAAAGATGAACTCTGGTTCTTTTCCTGTTATAGGTTGTTCCACCAGAGCTACAATGATAATAATTCACTAAGTTAAACGTATTTTTCACTTAATGTGCATTTCTGAGCTACTAATAGCAATGAAACTTAACTTCTCATTTTAAGTCGTATATTGGCTTAAGCACAAGAAAGTAATTCACGATTACTTAAGTATTTGTCAGTCACTCAAATTAATGAATTTTATTTCAAGTGTCTTACACAAATGTAGCATTATCTACACACTTTAACTACAATACGCACTTTACACACTATACTTCGCAAAATATAGTTCATGCTAAACTATTTCAAAATTAAATACATATCATTTTCGTTAATAACATTTCCTGTAACTGTGCATTCTTATCTAGAGGTTGCTTCTAATTATCGCAAAATGTCTCTAATGAAACAAGAGTAAACATACGACTGTACATTCTCGATTTAACAAAGTGTCTCTAATGAAACAAGAGTAAACATACGACTGTACATTCTCATTTTCACAAAGTGTCTCTAATGAAACAAGAGTAAACATACGACTGTACATTCTCATTTTCACAAAGTGTCTCTAATGAAACAAGAGCAAACATACGACTGTACATTCTGATTATCAGAAAGTGTCTTTAATGAAACAAGAGTAAACATACGACTATACATTATCATTTTCACAAAGCGTCTCTGATGAAATAAGAGTAAACATACGACTGTACATTCTGATTATCAGAAAGTGTCTCTAGTAAAACGGAAAAATACTCAGTTCTAACTTCTGAATATAACAAAGTGTCTCTCATAAAACAAAGAAAACACTTGACTGTACATTTTTATCAGAAAGTGTCTGTAGTAAAACAAAAATCACTCGGTTGTAGCTTCTGATTATCATAAATTGTCTCTAGTAAAACAGAATAAACATATGACTGTACATTATGATTATCATAAAGTGTCTGTAGTAAAACAAAAGCACAAATCACTTGGTTGTAGCTTCTGATTATCATAAATTGTCTCTAGTAAAACAGAATAGACACATGACTGTACATTCCGATTATCGTAAAGTGTCCGTAGTAAAACAAAAATCACTCGGTTGTAGCTTCTGATTATCAAAAATTGTCTCTAGTAAAACAGAATAGACACATGACTGTACATTCCGATTATCATAAAGTGTCTGTAGTAAAACAAGAAAAAGCACTTGGTTGTAGTTTCTTATTATAACAAAATGTCTCTAATAAAACACGAGAAAATACTTGGCTGTAGGTTTTGATTCTCACAAAGTGTCTGTAATAAAGCAATGCTCAATTACAGTTGATTGCTGTTAGTTTCAAAATATGTTTATGAAATATTCCTTTCTTAAAAATGCTACAAAAATGAAACTCTCAACTATTTCTCATCTAATTGACGATTTGTTTAAAATTTGGACGATTCTTTGTAAATAAGACGTAATATAATTATTTATTTTAAACCCTTCTGAAAGACATGCCGAAGCCTCTTGAAAGTAACTTATAGTTTCTCGTACACGTTTCGGTCTATGAAACAATGTTATTGCAGTTTCTCGCACACGTTTTGGTCTGTGAAACAATGTTATTGCGAAACGTGTGCGAGAAACTTTGTTTCACAGACCTGTTATTGCAGTTTCTAGTACACGTGTCGGTCTGTGAAACAATGTTATTGCAGTTTCTCGAACACGTATCGGTCTGTAAAACAATGTTTTTGCAGTTTCTTGCACACGTTTGGTCTGTGAAACAATGTTATTGCAGTTTCTCGCACAGGTTTCGGTCTGTGAAACAAAGTTTTATACTTTCTTAAAAAATTTTCAGTCTGCAGTGTTCTTACAGTTTCTCTTACACGTTTCGGCTTCTGAAACAATATTCTGTCGTCAAGCCTGCCACTAACCTCGCAGTTTTTTCTTTAGATCATCTCGAAGCAATGAAAAGGCGGATAAGTCAGACTTGTCTTCTGGTATCACTTGTTCTTTGATCCATCCTCCACATGCAAAATGATAGAAGTCCTCACAAGGATTTACAGAGTCATCTATATTTCTGAGTACAGTTGCCGCTGTAAAAACAAAAACAAAAAATGAGCCGGATCTAGGTTTGTTGAGTGGGTCCGAACCGCGAACGACAGGCATCAATGTGAGTGGTTTGTTTATCTACAATTTGTCTTGTCAATCTATACAACATAAAAACTGAAAGTCGTTTCAACAGATGAGCTCTTATGAGACCCATTGAGTTTTTGTTATTGTTTTTTTTTCTGAGTAAAACGTCCATTACTATTGTTTTAAACCACATTTGTTTCCAAAGAACTTTCGGGTCATGAAGCCAGACTAACATAAACATAATTTGAGCTGGGAAATATTTTTTGTTTATCCGTTCCTTGGAGAAAATTGTGATTCTTAGGGTCTGCATTACAGGAGTAATGAGCTACGCTACATGTTGTTAGTTCTCAAGCAATTGTTAGCATCAATAGCAAGCGATTTTAATACCTAATGTAAATGATATAATTAGTTGAACACTATATTCATATCGTTCAAGATTATTTTTATATAGGAAATAATGGGTTAAAAGTTTTTCTGAAAGTTCGCGCAAAGCTGCACGAGGGCTATCTGCACTAGCCGTCCCTAATTTAGTAGTGTAAGACTAGAGAGGAAGACAGCGAGCCATCATCACCAACCGCCAACTCTTGGGCTACTCTTTGACCAACGAATAGTGGGATTAATCGTAACCTTATAACGCCCACGCGGCTGAAAAGGCTAGCATGTTTGGTGGGACCGGTATTCGAACCCGCGACCCTCAGATTGCGAGTCGAGCGCCCAAACCATCTGGCCATGCCAGGCCGATTATTTAAAAATCATGCTAGACAATAAATTGTTTTTTTTTTTTTACTATCACTCTTAGTTTGTCTATTATGAGTTTAAAATCAGAAATGTGTAAAAATAGTATTTCGGCCTCATCTCCTAAAGGCATCAGTTAAAAGTTCAGTACTCGAATTTTTCACTTAGGCTGAACAATGAATAACAACTTTGCCGTTCCACATTTTGAACCAGTGCTCAGAGGGACAGCAGCCAGTCAGCATCATCCTTACACCAACTATCCACACTAAGTGACCGCCTGTTACTCCTATAACAAACCCACAGTTTAACGTATATGCTGTGATATTGCAAGGATTCAAAACCGGTTCGGAAGCTCAAAATCTAAAATTATACCACAGTGTCAAATGTTTGTCTAAACCGCTATCTATAAAGTAGTGGAATAATTTTAATGTACAATGGTTGAAATATCTGTAATGAACAAATTATGAGGAATGTAAAAATAACAAAAAAATAAATAAAACATCCGCAGACTAACGTGATCTTTACCACTGATATTAGATCGACTGGATTCCAATGTTTCGTCAACTTTCACCGTTCAAACGATAACTTTAAAAAAGGCTAGTATTCAGACACTAATAATCTCATTCAGAAAGTATCGCGTAAAATATTTTCTCAGATATTGTTCATATTTTTTAAAACTTGTATTATAAAGTATTGTTTAAATATTAGTCATTTATTCGTAATGGGTAGTATTGAATCTTGCTTTAGATATTATCCCCTAATTAAAAACGTATACAACAGGATATGTTGTATAGAGTATTGTTTGAATATCAGCCATCTTGTTCAGAACGTGTGCCGTAGAATGACGTTTAGACCTTATTCATATCATTCGGTATGTGTAGTATAGAATGCCGTTTGAATATCAGTCATCTTGTTCAGAACGTGTACCACAGAATTACGTTATATCTTATTCATATCATTCGGTATGTGTACCATAGAATGATGTTGAGACCTTATTCATATCATTCGGTATGTCTAGTATAGAATGTTGTTTAGAAATTATTCATCATTTTTATAACTTAAAGTTTTTATTACTTGCACAAATGATCTGTTAGCGGAAGTCACGTGACGCTGGTAACACGTAATTGTTTGTAACCAATTCTTTCAATGAAGATTCTATTTAGTAATAGTATTAGTACGTCTCTGTTCATTTGTTAATTTCCCGTAGAAATTCTTTCCGAAGAACTTCAGCGATACAAGTCTTTTCTTAAATAAAACTAGTTTATTCCTTCTCAATTCAACTTTGCAATACACTTAATTTGCAATACTATTACTAAATAGAATCTTCATTGAAAGAATCGGTTACAAACACTGAATATAAGAAAAAAGTAGAATATATGACTTATAAAACAAACTAGTACCTTAAATTTAGGTGAACTGCATACAGTTACGGATAGCGGTGTTTGTAAGATAACTTTTATGTTGATACCGATTAGTATGTTTAATTAAAAACTAAATAAATTGTGGACAGTAGACAAATCTTAATATAGCGTGAGTAAAGCAATGTAGTAACGATGATAATACCTAAAAATTAATTTAATGTGATATAATAACACCAAGTTCTGATAGTGATGAATAGGTCTACGATTACCCTAATCTTAACTGGACCTAATATGGACCAAATCCAGACACAGCTCTGTTTATGCCAAGCTCCGTGCAAATATACTTGTGAATATAACTCCATGAAATGGACTTCCGGTAATGTTTGATTGCACTTTTAGTCTTGAGCTCACAAAACAGTTCTACTTGGCACTCGTAAACACGCACGTAATCCTACTTTTACATATAAAAATTATAAGACCCTTCCAAAAACATTTAAGTTTGTGTCTAGGAAATGATTAGCCTAGTGTTTATTGGCCTGTTCATTGTGATATAATGCGAGTGAGAATTTTATGTATAAAATGTAACTGTTTATTAATAAGGGTGATAATCACTGTTGTTATATTCGTGTTGTTACTGGGTTTGCTAAATTTCTATCGGAGGTCGGTTATTCTATGTTTGTAATTGCTGTAGGTATTCCTATGTTATCTTCGTTGTTGGTGCTTATACTTTGTTGGCTAGGTTTGTTTGCGGAAGTTCTACTCTGACTTGTAGTGTTATAGTTGTGATTGTTTTCTTG